GCCGTCCGGTATGTATTAGGATATTCTGCAGAATTCGTCAACTTCATCCACTAAGTACTTCCTGATGAATGCAAACGGTTCCCGGAGAGGATGTACTCAATCATTTAAGGGCATATACTTGCCAGGCCCTGATTCGGCACATGCCCCGCAGCTCAGTCATAACGGCAAACTAGCTGCTTAGTTAAGCCTCGCCGGACACCTGAAGTTGGTCCCACGTGCGTGCTTAATTTATTCCTCAAAGGCCACGCTTTTGCTGCCCAGGAACCGCCAACGGGAGGCCTAGAGATAGATAGGAAAGCCGCTCCGTTCAAACGCCTCAGAGCTGTGGTAAAATCATGGCCAACGTGCCAGAGTTCCGTCTGCCTGTGGCTTGCGTAAACGAACCGGGCCTCACTAACTCTCCCGGCTGCCACATGAAATCGCAGGTGCGCCAAACCCAGCTGAAATCCGCACCTCAGAGCCGCAATTTATCATGTGCACACCCGCACACCCCTCTCTCGCTCTCCCACAAAAATCCCGCAGGTTTTTTTTCTGCAGATGAAACCGCTGTATGGCAGCACAAGCGAGCTCGCGCAGCAGCAAAAACAAAGACAGGTCGCTAGCCAACCAGACGATGGCCGTCAAATGCGGGGCGCATATTCTTCAGGACAACTCCGACGTCTGTTTTTTGACGTGATGGATCATCATCTCTATCGTCAGCACGGCCGTCGTCGCTACCCAAAAAAACGCCAATAGTGGCGTGGGGCCCAGCCAGGGATGTTCCCCGCTGCACTAAGGTACTTGCTGCGAGCGAGGATGGTACTTGTGTTATCCGTATTTTTTTTCTTTCGGTCCGACAGCTTTTGCACGGCAGAGCGACACACAAAGGAAAACGGGCAGGTGCAGCCCATTTTGAGTGTTCGCTTGCTCACTGGCGAAAGCTCGTGTCCGCCCGTGGGTGCGAATAAGCGCTGATCGCCTCGCAAAAGACATATTCGCCTCAATCGGAATGATGCCGTTTTCCTCAACCGTGGGAGACATGTAGCATGTATCAGAACTTGCGTATTTGCTGTTTTCCTCTTCTGTTGCGCACATATGCAACGTAGGTCAATCCGGGGCGACTGTTTCGTTTTACTTCTTCCTACACCCACAAAAAAACTCATCGTTCCTGTCTGTATATCCGTATGTCCTCTCCATGTGTGCGAAAACCGACCAGGATCAAAACAAGACCACCGCCCGTCCGTCGACGTCGCAGAGCAGGGGGGTCCAGGGCCTAGGTAAAAACGTGTCGAGGGGGTGTGGTTTTTGCCACGGGAATCTTACCGAAACATGCAAAATTCCCCGAATACGGACCGGGACGGCGCCAGCCTCCGTGCCTCCGGACTCGACATATCGACACAACAATTTCACGCGACGATGACGGCCGAGAGACAAAATGACGACGGATTGCAATTCAAACTGGCGCCGCATGTTGCCCCTCCGTCTCTCTCTCTCTCTTTCACACCACTGCGCAGAGGCTGGCTGCGCGACGCCACTGGGCATATGCGAGGATGATCATTCTTCGCAACTCTATCTTGCTCGCAATTTATGCGCATATCGTGCATGCTGCTCTAAAGCACTGGAGGTTTGCGAGTTCCCTGTCGGCTTGCCAGCGGGTGCCTCTTTCCAGCATAGCATGGCTGCTAGCTGGAGCCTTACCCCACGTGCGAAACGCAAGCGCTCCGTGGGCTTGGTGCGGCGGGTGTAGGGTTGAGTTATTACTCTCCCTTTGCTTAAAGTCTTTATATTGATGCTTTCAGCCTTAGTGTTCGACAGGTATCCACCCACCTTTACCTAGACACCGGTATATTCTGATCAAATAATTGGGAGTCACACCTTTCGTTGATCTGCTGCATCAATTCAATGCCATGTCTCGCTTCTCAAATTCAGAAGATCGTCCATCGATCGATTCAATTGCTTCGATGCTCAACCAGGCATCAGATTTTATAGGCCTCATCAGCTGACTGCAATCTCCGTATCTTCTCAGACCTTCAACAAGAAATCGCTCGCCTCTTCGCAGACTCTTTCTTCCCGGCAAGCAGAGGTCGACTAAGTGTTGTCAACCATTTACCGGCAGATGGTATTCTCAAGGTTGTATGTAGGCTCCAGGGATTGCCTTCCTGACTATGGCATGGCAAGCTGCATTTGCCTGGGATCCAGACATCCGAAAGGCTGGTCACATGATGCAGACTCCTATTACAAATTCGGCCAGGCTTCGCACATATTCATCTGGGAGACATGTTTCAGCCATTGCGCTGGAACTCAACATCTAGACTCCACTGAATCCAACTGCTAGGGTTTCAAACTAATAGCTAAATTTTATGCAGTTATCAGAAAGACAGCTCATGAAAAAGTTCCGAGGTCGAAGAGATCAAACATACTAACAGAGCTCCTATCGACACTGAATCTAAGCTTTGCGTCGCTGAGAAACCCGTCCAGCAACTGTGGTAGCCACGTCAAGTTCCAATCGTGTGGTATTGTATTGAGTGATACCGAATACAAGTGCCCTGAAGCAGACTTATATCAGAGTCACTCGAGATGCAAGTACACGGCCACGTGACCATCAACACCGGGTTATTCGCTGCTACCGTGTGAATACCGTGCCGATTGAGTTTGCTACAACGTGTAGATTTGGAATTTTGATACTTTGGTAGCTCATTTACCAACCAAGCTTTAGAGTATTCCTTCGTCCGGGTTCGTTACGTTTCCGTTTCTCAAGCTGCGTGCGAACAACTGGCACCCAACTCCACTCTATCCAAAGCACCTAGCACTGCAGCTGGCCAAGCAGCACTGTGCCATTCCTGCATGCCGTTCCCAACGCCCTTCCTCTCGCCTTACTGTCGACCCGGGGCTCGGCGAGCTACCCCGAGTGCCTACCGTATTATCTCAGGACAGTGGGTAGCGTCTGTCTGAAAATGGACAGTGGCCAAGTCACTTTGCCACAGGATCTACAGTGGTAGAGTCACTGCGCCTCCGTCTCTTTTCGGAACGACGCTACCCACTGTCCTGAGATAATACGGTACCCTCCACCATAATCATTTCCATCCGGCCCAGTTGTAAGGTTCGCCCACCCTGCACAGCTCTGTGGCTCACGGCCGCGGCGGTCCCAAGGCCCCGTCCAATGAATGAGACCAACTAGCTTCCCGCGCCCGATCTCGTCACAAAACCTCCAGATCAAAAAAATGTAAAACCCTCGAAAATCGAGAAACTCAAAAGCGCGAATCCCCTCGCTAGCTAAACCCAACGTCGTCGCCCATCAGCGCTGCAGTGCATGCTGAAGGGCCCACACGCACACGCTGTTTGCATCAACCCAGCAGAACGAGAGAAAAAAGCAAAATGCATGCGCGACAGCCCAGAGAAGAAGCGAGAAACAGGCGGCCGTGCGCCCAGAGGGCAACGTCGAGCCGAGGCACGGCGGGCTGGCGTTCGCTTGCGGGGCTTGGGGGCGCGCCGGCGCGGCGGTGGGGTGGTCTCTCTCTGGCAGTTGTCTGCTTCTCGTGATAATTCAATCCATAGTACGATATGTACCTCCCTCGAGCGTCGCTGGATGTCGGCTATGTACTGTACCCACACGCAGGGGCGCTGGTATCGCCCCTGATGCGGCTGGCCGGCCGCAGCCCAAGATCTCGACAGACAGCACCAGGATGCCCGTCTTGTGTGGGCAGCTCCAACTCCCTATCCCAGCCTGGCCGTTCGGGTAAACCGACAGCACCACAGGACTGCGGTGCACTGTCTCTCCCTACTCTACTCTGCGCCGCCGCGCGCCCATCCGTAGGCGACGTGCAGCCCGCTCGCTGCCGCCGGGCGATCCGGGTACGAGCTATATTAATATTAACTCACGCCCCCGGGTCCCCAGCGCCGCGCCGGCGAGGGAGCAACAACTCACATAGCATATTGTAAAGTACAGAGCACTGAGTCACACCACAGCACGCGCGCGCCGTCGGTATTCGATCCTGGTGCGTGCCTAGTCAACGCAAGTGCGCAAGTACCTACAGAGATACCTATCCCTCTGCTGCGGGTCCCTGACCCGGCACGCTGCTGCACTGCCGAGAGTTGCACGCAATATAGCCTGAATGGACCCGGACCCCGGACCTAGCCGCTGGGATTTAGAGTTATGAGCGAGCCCTGGCGAGATGATGTGCCGAATGCGGTCAAAACGTCGGCTTATATAAAAAACTCGTGCCGAGTCGCTGGAGAGAATCCACGGAGTGAGGCTTGGTGATGGGATTTGCCGGGAGGTTGGCGGGAGGTTGCGTCTGTTGAAACTGCGTGGGTCGGTATCCCAGCTACCAGCCGTTTATATCGAATGTGTCCCGAGAATGAAGATTGGGAGCACGCTGTTGGCTGCATGAATGCTCACTATGAAGAAACTTGTGACATTAGTAAATTTGTAGGTCCGTGATGAGTGGTGTTTGGGGGGTTTGCCATCCGCACCTATGCTGCTTTCCAAAATGATAGGACTGTGATGATGTTTGACCAGCCTAAAGATGCCCAATACTTTGTCTCGTGCCCAGTCCAGTGGTCCTCGCTAAACCACAGTACCTCATATTTCTGTGGTTTCGTGTTATCTGCAAGCCTCTGAGGAACGAGGTGTGCGTGGCTTGACAGGTGGATAAAAGTCTGCGCACGAGAAAACCCAATAGTAACGTTTTAAGTAAACGTCGGAGCTGGAAAGTATGATCGTGTTCGATTGTAAGGTTAAGCGTACAGGAAGAGAAAGAGAAGAGCAGAATAAAGGCGATGGGACTCCAGAAGACCTAAGCCCAAGTGATCTAAACCGAATGACCACCGGTGCAGATGTGCTATCTTCCACAATAACGTGTCCACTACATGGTGTATACGGTAATGAGAGATTCACAATCACCCTTATCATCCTAATCCCCCTGGAAAGGATTATTTATAGCCATCTAAAAAGATCCAACTTGAGAATTCTCAAACTCACTCGTCAGACCAGCCAGCACAGGGGACAAAAAGAGGACTTTTGATTCAGCCGGGATTTGAACCCGGGTCGGGCGCAGAATGCTATCACTTTTCAAAGAGGAATGGCAAGCGCCCATGATACCCCTACACTACTGAATCTTGGTTGTGTGAAGCGCACATACTGTATATCCATTCGGCATGTTGAAAAAATGGGCCATGGTTGTCGCTGTTGAGTGTGACCGAATGCTCGTCCAAGTGGCTACATGTAGCGAATACGGTAATTTTGTATTCGTGCATGTGCAGGATCACGTTGTAGGTGCACCATTTGCACCATGCGTCATTCGATTCGATTTGTTTTAGCCACAGTATACACATGCGCGCCTGGCTGTAAATTTATTACACATCTGCACAACTCATTGAATATAATCTTTTACCTACTCATCCTCGTCGTGATACGTGTTCCTACTGTGCTACCTCCAATAGATCATATCAAAGTGAGTGTGCGAGTTGGATAGTTAAAAAATATAATTAGAAACTGGACGGCAACACTGTGCTATTGCACATTTCATGTTAAACACCCCCCCACTCGATCTGGATCGATTTTGGAACCTAGTTTTTCTCATATTTTGTAAGGTACAGTGGTAGTTTCTCATATTACCGCGGAGTACATAAAGACCGCAGTTTTATCGAGTACTCATACGGAACACATAAAGAGAACCACATGCATGGAACCTAGCCTATAATAATAAAATGACTATCCATGTATCATTCCATGATTCACTGAGACAGTTTTTGTCTTGATTAATACGCCATTTAAATCAAATTTTATAGATTTTGATCCGTTGTAAGACATTTTTATAGTGAACAGTGAACACACTTGAATGAAAACCAAATATTTCGATCACGTCCAATCACTGCCCTTTTGACTAATATTATCATCTGAGTCTTGTGCTGATTGGTATGCGAATCCTCCTAGCTCCGTCTCCCAGCCTGCCTCTGCATTCACTCCGCTTCCCTTCTTACGACCATCTAAAAAGATATCGAATTTGAGTCTAGTGTCTTTGGCGCACACTTGCACCTCATAATTTACTCGATAAATCTTGCCAAACCCGCCAATCAGTGGCAATTTTATTCGGTAGTCAAGCTGTGCCTCATCACAGTTGCGTAGTTCTTTGTCGCCACTAATCCGATAAGAAAGACGCTGTACGACTTTTGTATCACTCGTCAATTTATCGGGAAGGTTATTTTGTCGGCCGTCGAACCTCACAATGTCGTGCTTCAACATACCCCCATCTTGGTGATGGAGATAACGTGAAAATAGGTAGTGCATATTCTTCGTACAATCGAGTGGACTATCTGGATTAATGAACCAATGGATACGGTTGGGAAGATAGTAGTGCTTGTCTGGCTTGATCCTAACACGCTCTGATTTGAGGTGTTTGTGGATACTTCTTTCGTATGGCTGGTTCCATACTAAACCGAAGGCACTCCGAGAGATTCGTTTTAGAATGATTGGCGTTATTTTGTGTAATTGGTGCAGGCGATTTATGACCAGCCCTCGGCATACTACGAGCTGACTGCAACAGGAATTAGCGGCCAAACAGTAGCTAGTTGCTCTCCCAAACATTTGGACTCACGGATCTTCTGGGATTATCATTTTCATTCCATGTATCTCTGAACAATATCTCTGCTTCAGAAGCTTTTGGACATAAGGTGACGACCCAAGCCCACCAGAAACAACCAGATAATTCTGTATGGCAGTGAGTGGTCACAAGACTGAGCATGAGATGTGGGCATCCACTCACAATCTTTAAATTAGGAAAACTGTGCTTGAGTGACGATAACTGCCTGTCAATAAACCCAAAAAGCCCACCAGACCCATTCAATCTCTCCAATGCATCTGCAGATCCTCTTTCCGGTGTGTTAGACAGAAAGTTGAGAGGAGAATTTGCGTCACGGCCCGAGAGAAGACTATCATATATTCTCTCTATATCCGATCTTCAAAGTGAGAAATTAATGACTAATATCTTGACACTAAAGTATGAAGAGTCCTTACATTTGGATCTCAATACAGCCGTTTGAGACCCCACGAAATCTGTTACTGACATTCTTATCGAGTCCTGCTATCTCTACTGATATTGTTTCGAGGCTTTCAAATATTTTTGTTCCGATTTTCGACTTGATGCTTTCAAATTCTCCAACCGAAGGATGTTCCCTTTGATATCCTAGGGGATTTAAGATATTTTTGACCTCTTCGTCGAATATCTCGTCAATGTTTGTAGACCCAATGGCTACGCCTAATAATTGATATTTTTCATTAGTGAATATTCTTCATGATTGGATGAGTATGGTCTCGTTCCTCGCTTATGAGGAAGTTAGAACAAACACTGGCTGGTCACGAGACTAGACGAGCCAGAGAAATTTAAGCCAACAAAATATTAAACTTACCATCAACCCAAAGTTGTTCGTAGTGTGGCACATGGTCTTTGATATCCACGACTTTCAATATAGATAGATCCTATTTAGAACACGCGGTTAGTTGAATGTAGTTCGTATATAAACAAGCGGATTTAACTAACAGTAGTCCCACCGCCAGCATCGCAGACAAGCAGAAGGTCGTCTTTCTACCAATATTATCAGCTGAATTGCATGAATACATTCTAGCGGCACGAAAGAACTTACTCTAAAAGCTATTTCCTTTGGATGACAAAGAGCTACAAAGGCTGCCGCTGCCTCGGCCTCATTTTGGCTGATGCTATAACGATGGTTTTGAACCTTCCCGAAAACTTCTTCCAGAATGCGGTTATATCGTTGGATGATGTCGGCTTTCCATGTTGTTGGAACGCTGAATAAAAACTCCACCTTTGTTTCGTTGAAAGGTTTATTATCTGTCAAATCCGAGCATCCTAGTGTCTCTGAAATCCATGCGTAGAGGTTGTCTAAATATTGGGCAAACCAGTCCTTTACAATTTCTAAGGAAAGACCAACGTCGTCGGTCAGAGTATCAAGACCTAAGAGAAGCTTGAAACGTTGTTCCACAACTACTCCTCTCATACAACAATCGCGAAGGGTTTTTGCCCCAAAGCCCCAAGAGCGTTGGTAGTTCTGTGTTCCGCCAGAAATCATTGTAGGTACTTTTTTGTGGATCCCATTGTCTCCAGGCCAGCGACATATGTAAGCTGGTGGCTCCATCACACCTCCTTTAGCATCTGTCCCACAATATGAGACTCCTGAAAACAGTTAGATTCTATTCTTATTATAAGACCACCTCTCTTAGACGAATTTAATATGGACTAAGCACGTCGATAGTGTTTAAAATGAGGCTGAATATAATGGATTCACCTGTGAATGTGGTCCCTAAATCCACACCTATGATTAAATCTGGTCTCCATTCTACATCACCATTGCGCTGCACTGATTTTTCAGACATATGAAGCGAAAATAGTAAAGTTGAGTTTCAAATCAAAGACTCGATCATGGAAACAAGGACGTATCGGATTCAGATGCTCCGGGGCTTAAACCGAGGTCTGAGGGGCAGCAGAGTAACTATAAGTTTTTCAGCTAGCAAGCGGACTTATAGCCAGGTCTAAAGAAAAACGAAGCTATTGATAAGAAATTCATGATAGAAGTATTGTGAGATAATGCTAAAACCATGGTTCTCAAAACCTGGAGCCTCAGTTTTCAAATGTTTTCGGGATAAGTGGGTGTCAACTGGGATTGGCTGTAACATGTAGGCACCTAGTCTAAGCTGTATCGTACGTACCCCACTTTTCGCGTGATATTCCTATAGGCTACTTATGTATGGGTATACCTGTTATTTGCTTGGTTTTTACAGTATGTACCATTAATTACATCGTAATGATTCGAATGGCGTGCGTGATCAAAAATTTCTAGACGATCAATAGGGGCCTAATCGCGCGTTTGTCGATGTCATGCATGAGTTGTCAAGGGCAGGCCGATTCTGGATGATCTGACCGGTGATTTTTGACAGTTACACAATTGTGCTCAAGTGTACGATACATTGATTGGTATATATTAATTGAATAATTTCTCAGCCGCATGCCCAGTGATCATGCATGTTCTTCCAAACTCGTTCAAATTTAGATTGTGGTCATGTTTGGAGATGTCATGCAGGCTGAAGCGCTAACAGCGGAGGCCATGCTCCCACTACTCGATTGGAATATCCTATAATAGCTAGCAACCAGTGGCCCATGAGAAAATGTGAATCTTTAGGTCTACCCCCATAAAACAGTGTCCAATCTTCAAGAATAATGCACACGGGGAGCACAAACTTGAAAGCCGCACATAAAATTTACTATCTTGGCTCTTGTTCTTGAGAGGGCTTTTTGTATGTAATCCTTGAAACTAATTATATTATCTTTGATACGTGCAAAAAAGATGAATATGCAAGCAGCTTACCAAAACCAGAGTTGCCAAATAATATTTAGTTATAAGCTTCTCATTCGCAGAGGGTAGGTGCATTGGCTTCCAATGTTTCGATCTTTTCCCATGTCGGGCTCTGTAACATAAGTTGAAAATCAAATTACTCAAATTAAATGACGCCCCAACCTCTTCTCCTATCCCGTTTGCTCACTTGATTGATCACTAGACTCCCTAGCCCACTGACACAGACTACGTGGCATAAATGCATATGTTTGTGTGTAGAAGCACTACTTACTTGGCATCGGCCGAAACGGTCGACGAAACCTAAGATACTATAGGAGAGTATAATCCTCGAATGGAAACACGCATAGTATCTTTTACAGTAAAAAAAGCTAGCATGATATCCGTTTATAATATGGACTCCAATTGGTAACAGTTTCTTCCTCTTCAAAGACACATGGAAATACCCTCCTCTTCATCTTTACTGTGTAATAATATTGACTATCGACGAGATCTAAGCTTAAGATACCAAATTTTCCTGTTATCAGTATGGCCAAAGGACTCCAGTCTCATCAGCCAAAAAGCGACGAAGACGAGATCATGGTTCAACTTTCAACCCTGCGAACATCTGTTCGGAGCCATGTCCTTCAATACTATGACTTCAAACGTGCAGATACTACCTTTTCTACGGAAACTTTGAACATCAAACCAATAGATAAAGCTGCATTCACAACAGTATTACAGTACTACATAAGTTCTTATTTATTTCATGTTAT